GTGTCGGCATCGTACTACAACGATTACATAAATCGTTTTACACGAAGGCTCCAACAACTCGTTACATGAGTTATCTCCCTTTCAGACTTCAAACACAATCAAGTGTTCGAAACATGAATCAAGTATATGAAATTTGATACTTTGCACATCGTGGGTCAGGTTATTGACTGTAAGTATACACTCAAATACATTCAAGGCTCTGCAGCTCACCTGAATAGTTTAGTATTTACAACATTTGGCCGCAGAGGTTAAAATTCAATGGTAAACAGGAAAAAGAAAAACACTTGCAGAAGCCCGAGAAGGTCCTGACTGCATGAGGGTGCCAATCCTCCCCACTCCAGGCATCCGGCATACCACCTAATTTGTCTTGGCATCCAATTCAAGAGCCGTATCAGTGTACAGTTGCATGGTACAAGTAAATTGGACTGAGATATCACATAGAATGAAGGACCAGGCGTGCTCATAAGCTCGGGGCTAAATTTGTTATAGATTTGTGTCACTTTGCAAGATAAAAAAGATGAAAACTAAACTTCAACATTAAAATATTGGCATCATCGTACCAGAATAACATTTCATGGCATCAACACTGCGGCATCCGGAACACCACTTACAAAGGATTGGCATCCGGCGTACCAAAAGGGAGTTGGCACCCTCCTCGATATCAATAAGAAAGGCCTAACTTACGTTTTCAACATGACAGCCCAAGCAAGCCATGAAGGTGAGCTTAATATTAAACTGCAAAATTAAATCACCTACCACATACTTACGAGAGGTCACAATTCACAATGACACGGGCAGAAGTGGCTAGGAACTTGTCAAAGAGGATGTTTATAATAAGATGTGAATTTGTTATTTTAGAGATACTGAATTTGTACATTCTTGGTATGGTCCATGCAAGGTATTAGTTGGTAGCCCTTTTCGTTTCGGGAAGACGTCCAACATTAAAGTTATGTAGATTGGTGTGGTTCTGTGAAGCTCATTTCTTAATTTGTGTTGGATCCGCCGAACTGAATCTGACCTGCGTGACTAGGTTTCAGAAACACCTTTTCTGGGATCGTTCACATTGAAGAATCATCGACACAGTACCTTCAAAGGAAATGTTGAAATGTAGAAGTGTCAGATAAACGAGTATAAAGTAAGGTCAATGATCATGACAAGGTAAAAATATTAAATATCTAGAAGGAACGTAGTATATTTTTTTGTACATATCATATACTCACTGCATGTCACATTTTACAATTACACACGTAGAGGTTATTGAAAAATGGGCAAAAAGTTCATTTTAATAAATTGAGATCGGAATTCTGATTATTACAGAAACCACCGCAGTTATAATTCATACACAGTTTCCAAAACTGTTTCCGGAGGCAAGCTAAAAAATACTTCTTGGGTGTGTGGACAACATACAAAAGTTCACTTGAACCAGAGAGTGTATCTTCCATGGACTACTGTTTGAACCCATAGTTAGGTTTGATGACAAGTATGTTCAAACGTCCATTCAGACGGTAGAAAGCTTCCTGAAGTAATCATGTTCCTTCCTGATTCCCATTACCTTCCAACAGCTAGGTCGAAGCATATTCCAAGAACTCGCAAGTTGATAGACGTTTCTGAAGGATACAGGCATAGTCCCGCACCATTGCGGAATAAATGCATTTGGTTAAATCTAAATGATAGACCTAGCCACGCTTAGGCCATAGTCCACATGATGTCAGAATCAGAATTATATATGAATTAAAAGATTGCTTATCCAATTAGTTCCTGTTACTGCTACTGTGGATGCCACGGGTAGATTATGATGTCATCTGCTGGAAGAGTCCTTCAGCGTCAAGGGTATTATTAGCATGGTTCAAGCCTATGGGTGGCAGGTCAGGCAAGCAAATTCCACGCCATACGTCACATTATTTGTTATAGGAAACCGATTTATATGATAACGTAAACTTAATATCCCCACTAGGACAGTATCAGAATTTATATGGCCTTAATAACTCACATAGAATGTCTGTCTGGTTCCTAATTGAGTCTATATCTATTTGCTAAACGTTGTGTGATACAGACGTATAGGCACACCGGACGTAGATACATATTTTCTTGTGTATGTTTGCTTCTATAGCTGTCTGGTTTTGTTTCTCAGTCTACACGCCACCCGTAGGGATTCCTTAACAGAATTCTGCCCAAGCATCTCAAGACATACTTGACGTTGAGGCCAACTGGTGAAGATCGGGTGACCTGGACCTCGTTTCCAAGAGCGATCTATACTCTCCAAAATTGCTCGCGTGTTTCTTTAGGCGACTTTATGACACGTGTCATTTTCACGAATCGTTCATTTAACGAAATGAATTCTGAAAATCATCATGCCAACAATATTTTCAAAAGTACAAGTCGGAGACGGAACGTAGTCCCTGTTGCTCTGCGGCGTGAAAATAAAGTCTAGGTGTTCTTTTTAAAACTGATAAAGTATCACAGAACGATTTGATTTTCTTTGATAGAGGGGGCACGGGTGGCCCAGTCGTCTAAGGCGCCGCGATTCGCTGTGCTAGATGCGTCCCTTGGGCCTTCCAGAAACCTATGATTGTGGGTTCGAATCCCGGTTCGCCCCGATTATGTTTCTAGGTTTGTCAGCACCATACCCATGCTTGTGGGTTTCACCGAAGTGGTAAACGTCTGAGACCTGCATCACTTCGGGCTTTCCTCCCACATTAAGCTGACACGCCGTGATATGACTGGAATAATGTTAAAAGCGGCGTTAAACTCACTCACACACACTCTTTGACAGATTCGATATCGATGGCTTTGACATTCGTTTTCTTTGGAAGCCGAAAAGTAGTTTGTTTTCACGTGGATTTCATGTAACCGGTCGTGGGTCTCTTTGGAAAGTTTATGGCATATGTCGTTTTCACAAATCATTCAGTTGAGGAAGTACATTTTGTCATCCTGTCAAGAATCAATAAGTGCTATTGGTAGACTGTAAGCTAGTGATCAAAGCATCAGTGACAAGGCTATCAATATTTCCAGGAGCACAATGATCCGAAATGGGGCACGATATCGGCAACACGATATCGGCAACAAGAGATCGTCCAAGACCAGGGAGAACCCGCTTCACCACAACAGCCCATGATCGCTACAAGTGGGTCCTTCATCCCCGAAACAGGACAGCCGCTTTAACGTACAATCCAAGACAAATTCCTGGTTAACGTCCCACATCTGCACAAATTTACGAGTTGCCGGAATCCGAGCAAGAAGGACCAACGTTGTCGTTATTTACCGACGACGTTATGGACTTCAGCGGACGCAGTGGTCTCGATTACATCATCAGTGACTTCCGCAACGTTGGCTTAGCGTTTGGTTAAGTTACGAATCCTGATTCCTTCTTCGAGGGAGAAATGGCCGGATGTGCATTATGCCGGAAGTGCATTATGCCGGATGTTGCATGCGTACAAGAAATCAACAGATTCGGCGGTGGCGTAGTTGTCATGATGAGGTTATTCATTATGGGCGAAGAACAGATCGTGTTTATATGCAGGGCAACCGGTGTGCTTTTATCGTGACCAGACCGTACGTCTTCACGCTGCCTCGGTTCTGCAAGCACCAGGTGCCATTTTTCAGCATGACAATGCTCATCGTCACACAGCACGAGTCTGTTCGGATTTCCTGAGAGCTCAGACATAAACTTGGCCGCCAAAGTCACCGGTCAGTACTCAATCCAACTGAGCTTTTGTGGGATGAGCTGGACAGACGTTCACGTTGACCCACGTCAACCAGGGACACAGAATCTTAACAATTACGGTCTGCTCTTCGGGAGGAATGGACTGCCATTCCACAAGGTGTCATTATCTACTTCTTGGTTCCATGGGCAGGATGTGTCGTGCAGTCAAGACTGATGGTGGACAGACGCGTTAGTAGGCTTTACAATTGCCGTGCTTGAGAATGTGGCCTAACCGGCATATGCAAAGACTTCTCCGTTAATGTTTGAAGAATTCTGTTTCATTTTGTAATCTTCCAAAAACACACGTCCCACGCATCGTCCTTAAAAGTATTGACAGAATGAATCTGAGGGCGGCCGGGTAGCCTAGAGGTTAAAGCGTTCGCTCGTCACGCCGAAGACAGGGGTTCGATTCCCGACATGGGTACAATGTGTGAAGCCCATTTCTGGTGGCCCCCGCCGTGATATTGCTGGAATGTAAAAATCGTACTCACTCACTCATCGAAAGGATCACTGTGCTTGTCTGACGGTCTAAGGGAGAATACCCCGTATATTTTAAATTACTTATCCTTTGCATCAAAATATTTTGGGTTTGTAGGATGTTTTTGTTACCATTGCTCAATGAACGAATAGTTTCCAGTGACAAGTAAAATGCCGTATATCACCAGCAACACCATTAAGGATTGTGAAAAACACGAGAGAACATATTTAGTAAAGCGGTCGTAAAATCATTCATACACGACAAGGATCATGAATTTGAGGATAAGATTTATGGATGAACAACTTCTTTATTACGATTAAGAGCGACGTTTCAGTGTAGGTTCTAACACCGTTATCAAGCAAGTGACACACAGAGTATGGTTGACAAGTATATATACAGGTAGGAGGCAATGTTTATACAGCAGAGTAGATATCAAAGTATATTATCAGTGTAGTGTGCCTCTTTTATAGACTAACATCTAGCCTCTGAAATGAACATATTTTACAGTAAAAATGGTTGTTAAATTAGTTATAAAATATAATAAAAAGGAGCCCAGAGACTTCCTTCATTGATACTGCAGTAATCTAGCCTTGCCAAACATTACAGATTTGCATGGGCTATATTGGATATATTTGTTTCATGGTCTATATGTGAGATTACCTCTTTTATCATTTGAGGATTGTTGAAATCTCACAATTAAAAAAATTGAGGGGTGGGGGGAGAGAAGTTAGTGTCATTTTAACAAAATAAAAGTTCCACCGGAGGATTCTAGTTTTGTATCCATAAACGGAAGTTTTCTAAATCACGTGATCACGCACCACAAGCTCCTTGTACAGGCATTTTCAGTTGTGCTGCCTAGTTTAGAAATGAATATGACCCTGTAAGGAGTTTTCGGTGTGTTTACGTTTCGATTTTGGAGATGTTGCTGTCAATTCTTGTCAAATGTACGTAATTGGTAGTTATTTCTTACATATTCCTCATTGATCCTTAAGAGGTTAAAGATTTATGTCACGGTGATTACATGTGATAGTTGTCCCAGTCTCAAACACCGAATTGTTAATATTTTAACACAATGTTCGGCGTTATTTTGAACTTACATTTAGTTTGATCTGACGATTAGGCCGGTAGTAAACTCGTCCTAACACCAGACCGCAAACGGTTACGAAGCGTTGAAAGTGAAATTGTGGTTTTGCAATGTTAGATGCATGCTATCAAATCCATGTGCTCAGATATGAACACCACATATATATGTGACATTACTGACAACACTAAGTTGAAGTTGGGGGTATTGAAGCTATCCAGACATGCTGCAGCTTGTTTTTGTTAGGCCTCATCCAATCAATGAAGATTGTATTTCACCTGACAGTTCTACTAAAATGGTGCTGAATGAATTAAGGCGCTGAATGACTTGAGGTTTTGTCATTAAACTTTATTAATAGCCAGGCAACATTGGGTACACATAAATAGTACTAGGATTGTAAACTGAGTTCTGTTGGCCCACACATTTGGATTTTACTGTTTCTTATTTTCCTAGACATTGTAAATTGAGAGGTATATTATCTCTATATTTTATCAGGTAGTTGTGACTTTACCCGGCACACTTTTTCGGATTTCATTGCCTCAATTAACACCGCTTGTTTACCAAGTCATCAGCGCCGGATTGTTTACCTTCATGTGCGTGACTCCGCAAAACTTAGAATTTTTTGGTAGGTCTTTCCTTAAATTACATTGGATTAGTTTGTTGAAAATAATAACTAGCCTAACCTAAAGGGGTGCCTAACCCTAATGACCTGAAAGGTGTGTTTGATCGGAAAAGGATCCAGATAGAGTTAGGGGTAACTAACCCTAACACCAGTAATCCAAAGAATCAAAGAGGCATGTGAAATATGTGTAGCAAGAGCCACAACCGGCAGCCCGAGTAAATGAGAGCTAACAGACCTAACACATGTAGTAAGATACTCACAATTGTCAGTGTCAGGGTATTGCAAGTGATAATTCCCTGTGAAAATGTTAATTGACAATTCTTATCATGTAAGCATAAATACTGTGGTCAACATAATTTTGATGAGCCAGTATCATATTATTCTAGAATTCTGTATTACTGTATTAAACCATGTAAAATATCAAGTGTTAGATGTTATAATTTGAACATGCAGGGATTTATGTAGTCAAAGGCCCCATTTATGCAGCTATTCCAAAATTGGAATTAAACAATTTCTAGTTCATGTAAATATGTTTGTAACTGTAAATGATATATAGCTTTGAGAGGTGACTTTAATGTTACAGTAAGACATTGTGAGCATACATCTGAACATAGGAACATCAGGACTTTTAAATATATGTATTTATCCGAATAACAATTGATCCCAATTTGAATTGTTTGATAGGCATTATTTAGAATTTGACGGATGACAAAGTAGACACAATTTATGGATAACAACTTCTTTAATACTGTATAGGCAACATTTTGGCATAGATCCTTATACCGTTGTCAAGCAAGACTGACAAGTATCTGTACTGAAACGTCTCCTATACAGTATTAAAGAAGTTGTTGTCCATAAATTGTGTCTATACTTTGTGATCCCAGTTTGGTTAACAAACATGCATGGTATCATCTGATCATGTTGACAGGCATCAAATATGAGTTTCAAGTGTTACATTCATGGTTTTAAACATGTTTAGACTATCATGTAAGACATGTTAGAAAATCTTTCAAGATTCTTATTTTTTGAAATAATCTTTTACCTTTAACATGTTTAATGTTTGTTTGCTTCCAGGCTCAAATGAGGTCTAACTTATGTCAGAGTATCCTATTTGATTAGGAGAATTTAAAATGGATTTTTCTGCCGAAAGTGATATTGGTATGTATAATCAAATATATTCTCACTTTTGGTGTTGTTTGCTTACAGTTACCTTGTAATTTAACAGAAACGTGATTCCTTTTGTAAGTAAGTGAAAGAAGAAAACCATGTTCACATCTTGTCACATATTATCATGTCAGAGTTATTATGAACAACTTTACTCTAACATGCCCAAAGAAATAAAAATATTTGTGTTTAACTTTGCTGGTATGTGATTTATTTGTGTTGTTTACTTTCTGTCCAGACTCTACAGTGACACCAATAGAGTTATCTCCCCATCACAGCCATGGCCAGCTGTTAGAGTCCGACAGTTTGTCAGAGTTGTATCTCAGTGATTACAACAGACAAAGTCCCAAATTCCGAAGGAAACCACCACCTCATAGACCAATGAAATCTAGCAGACATAGACATGACCGAGACAGAGAAGAAAGTGATGAAGGTTTGGAATAGCATGTCTAGAATAGACGGTCAATGATTTGAATAAAGGAAGAATTTAATTTAAATACTGCATCTCAGAAATGATGTCTACAGTCATTACCGTATTCGACGTAATAAGCGCCTAGGGCGCTCTCAAAATTAGAAATAGGGGGCTCTTATTAGAATATTATTTTGGTGAAAAAAACAGAGTTGAAAGATAAATTTTGTGGTTTATGCTGACGGCCTGAAATGTTTATGTACGACAGATATATTTTTCCAGAATTTAATTGCCCATAATTGAGGGTGCATATAACACACTTGTGCGTATTATACGCGAAAAAATAAGTCTTGTGTACATTGATCAATCGGAAGGAGTGCCAATTGGGATTGTTCACTAGCCAATACATTAGCAAATATCGCCGTGGGCGCTAATTAGAGTGGGGCGCTTGTTACGTCGAATACGGTATATGTATTTGGGGTGAAATGATACAACAAGGTCACAATACATAACATGATATGCATATTTAAGTCAAATTTCATGGAAACCTCTTGACAATAAATATTTCAGGGCAAGTTCAAAAAGCAAACCTAGCTATAGCCACATGTTCGTAGTGGCTATTTTTAGTAGTGAACTTGAAACGCTAATTACAACACATCTTGTGATATATGACTGACAAAAACATCAGGAGTCATTAAACGAGTAGTAAGTAATTTATTTCAGCAAGGGTATAATCTTGTATCGATACAGAAAAAATGTATCGTGTATTGTATCGTCACATGAAAACACAGGGTGCACCTATGTTTCGTTTCCCCCCTAATCTGTATTTTTAGCACGAGGTGAACATGTGGTTTAAGTTGCTGTGCGGCGATGCATGCCGTAGTGATCTTATAATATTAGTGATCTTAGGTTTCCGAATCCTAGATTGTCCTGATTATGATCATTGACTTTTCTGTACCATACCCATGTTTTTCACCAAACCGACAAAAGGACCTGTGTCACTTTGTCGTGTTAATGTTTTCCTTGTATATTGACTGTGACCTCTTGTTTATGTGGATTTTTTAGATTTTTTTAGGATAATTTTTCAATTTCCATAAGTCTGTGTTGGAATTCAAGTGGAGCATTTCAGACTTGTTTTGATACAGTTTATGAATCAAAGAAAATACACCTTAAGAAACACATAATAGCTGTGTATATTCAGGGTAGTTGTATTTACTTTTAGCAACAGTAACCAGGAATAAGTAAGGTGTTCAAAGATCGGTGACACCAGTACACAGGGCATGCAAAGTCATTTATTGTGCAGTGACTTTGCTCAAGTACCTAAAAAGCCGGGTTTTGTAGTTGAATTTAAATTCCACATTTTCAAGAGGCCAGCCTTGATGATATGCCGTTACAAAACTGAAATATTGTTTCAAGCAGCAGCAACCCCAAGTCACTCATTCAGTAAAAGGGGCAGTCGGGTAGCCTAGTGGTTAAAGCGTTCACTCGTCAGGCCGAAGACCTGGGTTCGATTCCCGATAAGGGTACAATGTGTGAAGTCCATTTCTGGTGTCCCCTTGCCGTGATATTGCTGGAATATTGCTAAAAGCGGCGTAAAACCATACGCACTCACTCATTCAGTAATATAGTATACCCTTGTGACAAACAGATCAACCAGCTGTCAACAAGGAGGATCTGGGCAACATCTATCAAGAACTCCAAGCAATCAGTGACAAACTCAAAGTGAGAAACAGCTCTGTACTTGCTATATGTGGTTAAGTATAATAACATGAACACTCAGCCTTGTTAAGTGGTAGCACTGTAACTTTTCATCGTGTTCATACTTTGATTGCATCATGAATGTTGATGATAGCTAGTTTATAATAATGTCATTTACCTTAATCATGTTGATACTCATGATACAGGTCAATATGCACTATTCAATAGAGATAAATTATTGGCATGATGACAATGGATGTCACACTCAGTGTCAGAAAGTAACACCAAATCTTAATTTGACACGGGGTCTAGTAATAGTACCGGTAGTAATCAGAAACATTTTCTATAGCCCTGTTGAAGCTGCTTTTGTTTGTTTCGTGGAAGCTAGTTATATCAGTGCAGTGTTTTTTATTGCGACAAGTACTACCTTAATACAATGTTCAGAGTTATACTTCAGCATTATTATTTTGAACCTAAAATTATGCTATTACACTTTTTAGTATCATGAATTATTTACATGCATAAAATATCTTGGCGAGTAAATTGTTAATGCATCGGTGACATGAAGCATTCTACAGCAAGACTAAACTGACCAATGTGAGCCATGCTTTCAGTTCACTTAGTGATAAAATATCCATTACTCAGTAATAAATATCCATTACTCAGTGATCAGGTGACTATGAGGTTTCTGATTGGTTATTTTGTTAAAATACACTCAAGTAATTTTATCATCTGCTGAAGGAGTTAGCATATCCTCTGAAATGTTGTGTTCCTCATAATAAAGAAGTTGAAATCTATAGTCTCTCTCTTATCATGCTTATGTTTATCACTTCCAAATGCCAATCGAAGACTGCACTACATTGTCACTCTGAAAAACAGTATAAGTGTCACATGATGTATTTTATGAATGTGTGGAGCTTTGACAAGGCCTAACGAAAATGTCAAAACGAAAACTGCATCAGAGATCTCAAATGTGACGACCATTCTAAAAAAGTTAACATTACTCTTTCTACCCCACTGATTGCTTCAAATTTAGGGCTGGCATCTCTGAATGTTCTTGGAATCACTAATAACTGCACTTTATGACTGGTGACAATTACCGTATTCGCCATATTAAGCGCTCTGTTGCCTTAACTGCCCCTTACCAACTTCTAGACCTATCTATAACTATAAGTAATCTTTATAAGCGCCCCTGTCTACAAATGGTATAAGAACCAAAATGTACATGAAAGTCCATATTTTTGTGTGTATACTGCACATTTTATACAGATAAGAGCATCACAGAAGGGGTATAAAGTTGTAGTTCCCTTGATGCTTGAACTAAGTTCGTCCACTACCAGTCAATCTCTGAAAACAAATTTATTAAACTTGTTGCATATGTTTTTATTAAGCATCAACTTTCAATTTTCTAAGTGCTCAGGGCTTTTATTTAGGCTATTACAGTATTAATTGGATGATCATCAGTTCGAATAATGAATTTATGTGTGAGTGCTTACATATGTCCATGGCTTTGTGTTAGGAGGAGAACAGGATATTACATGAACGAGAAGCCAAGTTGAAGGAAAGAGAGAGGATGATTGTCATCTCCCAGTCCAACATACAGACAATAACAGACCATGAAGTCAAACAGAGGTGGCAGGCTTTACAGCAGGTAACACAGATAGGCCCGTCATGTGGGGGTTCCGGGTTAGAATAGGCCCCCAAGAATGCTGGTCATAACAGGCAACTAAATGTTCATGCTTAATGACTTGGCTGATTGATGTAATCATATCCCATTTGTTTTGATTGATGCTTGCCGTAAGAGGCGACGAACATGATCAGGTGGTCAGGCACGCTGACTTGGTTGATGCATGTTATCATATCCCAATTGCCTAAGATCAATGCTAATGATGTAAATCACTGGATTATCTGGTCCAGACTTGGCTATTTTCAGACCGCCGTCATATAGCTGGAATATTGCTGAGTGTTGCATTAGACAAGAAGCAAACAATTGTGCAGAGTTGCAGCCCTTAGTCTTGCAAGTACCTGTTGATCATGATCGAATCCCAGATTCCTGTTTACTATGATTGGTTTTCAGCACCATACACTTGATACAGTTGCTTGTGGCTTCCATGAAAGTATAACATCTACAAACTGGGTCACTTTCATCCCACATGCTCAAAGCAATGCATAACCAAATTCATATCAATAACAGAAGTAAGGTGAGGTGAGATGAAATGGGGTTTAACTTGGCGTCCAAGATTGTTGCACTTATGTAGCGACGAGGATACATGTGTGTGTGGTTGCTTGTACTAGTTCGGACTGATGCCGATTTATAGTGCTAGCCCACTGAGATATCATGCCCCAGTTTAACATGAATACCCCACTCAGACACATTGTACTGACTCTTAAGCCCGACCAGTACTTGTTTTAGCTCCTTAATGTCGAGCACCAGACAGGGTAACAACAAGTACCATTTTTTAAGGTCTTTTGGTATGACATGGTCGGGGATCGATCCCCAGACCTTCCACTCTCCGCTCTACCACTAGACCACAGAGGCAATCTATCAATAACAGAAATATGTATTTGAAGATTTTTTTATTGTTTTTTTGTTGTTGTTCTCTTGCAAAATCTAGACTTTTACATGGGATTTTTTTTTTAATTACCAGGTAGTTTGTCTTAACCCTGATCATGATGATGTCAAAACATGAGCTGAATGAGGAGGGAAGATGAATGTGGAACTTTACGTATATATGTTTATGATGTATATTTTATATATATGATGTGAATTTATTTCATTTACAGCAACATCAAGATGAAGTGGCGAAGTTTGAACAAGCCCTGAGAGAGAGGACAAAAGAAAACAAAAGATTGAAGGAAAACTTTGAAACTTTAAAACAAGCCAATGATGCTCTGAAGAAGGAGGTTAGTGATGGACAGGTTTTCATTGTACCTGGTGGTTGGCTTGCACTGACAATATGTGTGTGGCGTCACCAGTGTCCCACGATTCTTGCAGGGCCCAACAAAAATGAGGGTCGGGTGTTTAACTTAATGTTTTGTAAGGTTTTGTGGTAGATTGACCGCTGCTAGGCCCTGTTCCACGAAGTGATTTTAGCACTAAGATGATTGTAACTCCCATACTTTAACATACTCTTACGCCAGTCTTAGTGCCCTGGTGCTGGTGATTTTGCTCCTAGAAGATTTAAGACATTAGATGTTATTCTCCCGTGGACTTCCTCTAAATGGCTCTGGGGAATTTCATTGGTACAAGGTCATGGTCACAAGGGTACAAGGTCATGGTCACAAGACCAAATGTATGTGGTTACACTTTCTCTAAAAGTATTCAGGATTTATCATTTAACTTCATATATACCTCCTTTAGGTGCAAGCTTTTCTTTCAATAGGCTTTGGTCAAATTTAGTCAAAGGTCAAGGTCCATATTAAGGTTTTCATAAAAGATGAGGTATGCTTTTCTCTACCATGCTTACAGGCATGGAACTGTATATTACCATCAAGACTTGGGAGGATCCGGGTTAGAAAAGCTACCCATGCTTGTCTTAAGAGGAAACTAACGGGATTTGGACTTAAGACTTCATTATTTACAGACCACCATCATATACATGATATATTGCTGTATGAAGCGTTAAACAACAAACAAGGAAACAAACAAACAAACAAACAAACCATCAAGACATTTTCCCACATCTTTCAATGCCACTATTTAACATGCAGTATTGATTTTTCAGCTAGAAATAACACAGATGCAGAAACTGAAGCTTGAGAAACAGGTCACAAGCTCCCAGGCTCGGCTGACAAACTTACAGGTTGATACCATTAACACTAACATTTTTAGGTGACTTAAAAAAGTGGAGAAAGCTGAATTTGTTTTGGTTTCTGTTGACCATATGAACAGTTGTTCTGTAATCTAGGGGAAGATATCTTAGGTCAGTGCCGTAGCCAGCCGGGGGGTCAGGGGGGGTCATTTGCCCCCCCCTGAATTTTTTATAGAAAACAGTTTTATTTGAATCATGAAAATACAAGTTGGAGACAAGTGACTCTTGTACAAATATTTGACCCCCCTGTCAAAAGAAGTTAACTACGGCCTTGTAGATTGCATTTAGAAGCTGAAGAACTATGATCAGTGAAGACAGGATTGACTTACAGATTTCAGCTTGTGGGGATTCATTGTTAGAATGGGTTGCCAGCAATCTGTTAGGGCTGGGACGACCCCCTATTACCTGACCCTACCCAGATACCCACTGTAAGTCTCAAGAGTTGGGTACAAAATGAAAATGTCCAGTTGGGAATTGTTTTACCGGACCCATGGCAAAAAGTATTTAGATACACGTATAAAACAATCTGGTCATGCAAGCACTGAAGTTGAATAAAGCTTTATCTTTACTCAAACATATACCAGTCAGAAGGAATGCGTGCATAGTCAAGAAGAAATGCGAACATTAGCGACTTTTTGTTATTGAACAATATATCACATGACTAACTACGGGTCCAGGTAGTCCTGTGGGTATCAGGATCCTACTCGGTACCCACTGACCCAAGTACCCGAGTTACCTGTCCCAGCCCAACAAACTATGCTGGTCATCGGAGGTGACTACTGGATCGGTTTGTCCAACTTGGTGGCTTGCTCGATTGCTTGACAATGTACCCAGATAGCGTGGTTCGTTGATCATAACATCAGTCACTGGATTGTCTGTTGTTTATGTTCCACTGTGATATTGCTCAAGTATTGCTGAGTGTGGCATTAAGCAACACACACATGCACGCACACACACGCATACACGCATACATGCACACATTCCGCCAGGAACATTTACAGCTCTAACAAAAGCACAAAGGTTTGACAAATGAGACTGAAGGACCACTGCTATAATATCAGTCACATTAAGTCCCCATGTGGACAATATCAAGAGTGAAGCTGTCGATGACTAACATTAACATGGAGTGTACCATCATGTTACTGTGTTGACAGAGGAAGCAAGAGTTTGACCAGCGACAGAGAGAGGGAGATGTTCTCGGGTCGTCAACAGAGGTTCCAGGTAAACAGAGCAAACTCAAACAGGAGACTGATGACAGACCAAAGCAACACAAGGTATCCAAGGTTTGCACATCACCTGTGTTCTACATTATTAAAAAGGCCAGTCATCTAAGGTGCTGCAATTCGCTGCACATATGCAGGAATCCCACTTTTATATACAGCCTTGTCTGCAGCACCTATTGTCCATGTTATGCAGCAATAGAGAGATGAAATTTAAGTATCGATATATCGACTCAAACGTATTACATTATATTAATTATAAAATTAATTATTCTGTATGTGTATTGATGGAAATTACCAATGTAGACCTGCAATTAATGAATTTAATCCTGATTAATAACCAGGCTGATCCCTTAAATATTTAAAATTGAATTTTCTGCCTTACTGTCTCTCTTAACCATGGTTATCTTAATAAATGTAAACATTTCTCTGGCAGTGAATTATTAATTTAGTATTGATATTCATAAGTAATTTTTGTATAATTTTTTTCTTTGGTGACTCATTGCATTTAACTTCTTTAATTCAAACCTTGTTACAGACCTATATTAAGAGTAATATTAGTAAAAAGATTAATAAAAACACAAAACATAGAGGCATTATCATCAAATATCCCTGCATGTGTACTGACCTACTTCAGTATCATTCCATGGTTTTTACAAAACTGATTTAGGTCCCGTCCTAGGAGGTGCATTGCAGGGGGGTTCTGTGCCACCTTTACCTGGACGATTGGCTTATTTGGCTCTAAGGGCGTTCGTTCTCAAGTTCCTTTCATGTCCCTATCAAACTGTGCATGTGCCCCATTCAACAGTATCCTACCTGTCCGTGGACCCAAGGCGGCGATCTCGAAGAGTTGTTTTGGGGTAGAGCCGGTGTTGTTCCTCATCTTCAGTGGTGGGCATCGGCTGAGAATCTCAGTAGGGGAGTCTGTCTGGGGGTTCAGACGGATGCTTCCAGGGGGAGTTTCTAACCGTCTTTGTGTCAGCAGTCTGTGGTCACTGAGTGAGAGTCAATTTCACATCGGTGTTCTAGAACTGAGCGTGGCTTTTTATCCAGAATGGCCGAAGGGGGATTATGTCATGGCGCGTCCGTCTGTCCGTCCCACAGAGGGTACTAAGCTTGTGAAATCAACTCCTCCTACAGTTTCCAGAGAATATCCCTGAAACTCTACACACAAGATGTCGACATGTTGATGATACGTATATCGCAGTCCTGTTTCATTTTGACAAACTTTGACAGAGTTACTGCCCCTGTTTTACAGAGCTTCATTTGCCTAATTGTGAGAGAGGTACTAAGCTTGTGAAATCAACTCCTCCTCCAGCTTTTAGAGAATATCCCTGAAACTCTACACACAAGATGTCGACATGTTGATGATAAGCATATCGCAGTCCCGTTTCATTTCGACACATTTTGACAGAGTTACTGCCCCTGTTTTACGGCGCTTCATGAAATCTACTCCTCCTCCAGTTTCCAGAGAATATCACAATATCTAACTATAACTATAACTATAGTTAGTTTCCTTGTATAAGGCTTTTGTGGGTGAGCTACATCCTTATGGCATTAGCATTCAGACTGGATTACTCCCAACAAAATGTGTGAGACCGCCTCCGTGTTCCTGTGGTAGAGCGTCCGCCCGGAGAGCGGAAGGTCCGGGGTTCGATCCCCGGCCGCGTCATACCAAAAGACGTTACAAGATGGTACTTGTTGTTACCCTGTCTGGCGCTCGGCATTAAGGGGCTAAAACAAAGACTGGTCGGCTCGGAGTCAGTATACTGTGTCTGAGTGGGGTATTCATGTTAAACTGCGGCGTGGTATCTCAGTGAGCTAGCACTATAAATCGGCATTAGTCCGGACTAGAACAAGCAGCCACACAAACACATACTCGTACATGAACGTCGCTATATAAGTGCAATAATCTTGGACGCGACGTTAAACCCAATTTCACCTCACCCAACAAAATGTTCTGCACAATTTGTTTCAAATGTAGTGCCATCTACTGTTGTTATTTCATAAAATACAAAGAAAATATTAACTCGTTAAAAAAATTCATGCGGGGGATGTTGTGCTCTCAGAGCACTATTGTTGGGGATACTCCATGGCTATTTCCATGTTTCAAAACCTGGTCGATGGTATTACTACAGTTCACCACCCTTTCACTATCCTTTCACCACCACCTTCAGCGCTTTTTATTGTGAGAGGACAGGATTCGTCTGGCGAATGATTCCCATTTGTTCTTGATTGGCTTTCCGGCCCTCAATTCCATCCTCTTTCTTCTCTTCCATTAGGTTAGTGACATGGAAATGTCTGCTTCTTGTGGCTCTTACTTCTGGACGCAGGGTAAGTGACATGCATGCCTTTTCACCCGATCTGAACCGGCTAGTATTCCACACGGACAGAGTATCCATCAGGTTGCCTGATTCCTACCAACCTAAAATTGCCAACTCCTATTTTACAGCGCCTATCGAGCTCCCCACCTTTCTTTTGCTGCCATTGTCCCGAACATCAGCGAGGTTACCTCACTCACAAGACAGGCGCAAAACTCTATAAACATATGTGTGTGTTTCAGCGAGGGTGTGTAAAACACAGAACCAAGTGTTTGCGTGCTATGGCACTGGTAGTTCAGGCCGTCCCAACATCATCTCTTTATCAATGTTCGTGGGTCCACTTAGAACTAACTGGGTCATGGTTCAATCATTATGACAAGGACCGCCTCCGTGGTCTAATGGTAGAGCGTCCGCCCAGAGAGCGGAAGGTCCGGGGTTCGATCCCCAGCCGCGTCATACCAAAAGACGTTAAAAGATTGTACTTGTTTTTACCCTGTCTGGCACTCGGCATTAAGGGGCTAAAACAAGGACTGGTCGGCTCGGAGTCAGTATACAGTGTCTGAGTGGGGCATTCATGTTAAACTGCGGCATGGTATCTCAGTGTGCTAGCACTATAAATCGGCATCAGTCCGGACTAGTACAAGCAGCCACACACACACGTACATGCACGTCGCTATATAAGTGCAATAATCTTGGACGCGATGTTATGGCATCATATGGCTCATTGAAGTCACTGGTCCTCTAGCGCGATTGGGCTCTCATGATTAACGTTTTGATGTGTACAAGTAGCTAATTCCCACGCTGCAGCAAGCTTGTTACACGGGATCACATAGTATCTGCAACATGTGCAGTGATGCTGGAAGTAGGTCAGTGCACACACAGGGATGTTCAAATATAATGTTTTCTTTAATCTTTTATGAATATCACTGTTAATACAAGTTTGTCACAAAGATAGAATTTAAGAAGATAAATGCAATGTGTCACCCCAGAGAAGAATTACCCTCAATCACTGCTGATTATTAAAATTTTGTATCAGTACATTAAGAATTTGTTTATCCTTCAATATCGCAAAATGCAATGACATCTCTACAGCATCAACATCGCTGGGCCTTTATAACTCACTTGGATGCTTTAAAGTTAGATTTGTGTTTGGTATTCCAGGCAGGCATGCCGGCGTATGACATCCTGTCTGCTCTGCTGGACTGGGTGTGTGATGCCCATCTCCGTCACGCTGTCACAGACCAGCCTACGCAGCCTATAGAGAGGTTCTCTGCTCCGGACTATGTACAGGACAAAATACTCAGGGTAACATAAGACATTGGTTGCTTGTACTTCCGTTGGGCTCTCAGCCCGGCTCCATAAAGTGATCATAGTGTTCAGACTGTTGTAAGCCTATGTTAAAGTATGGAGTTATGATTCACCTAGTGCTACATTTGCTTTGTGGAAGAGGGCCCAGGGTACGATTGGTCCGGTGTATTAGTAACATGTGCCTTTCAGAAGAGTTGATTAAACTGGATTGTAGGTAAGGCTCTGACTGTGTCATTGTGTGTAATTGTGTCCCAAAGTTCTGGATTGTTGCTAATGCTTTCACTAAATGGTTTGCCTGGTCCAGACTTGAATATTACATACTGCTGTGATATAGCAGGAATAGTGCTGAATGCGGTGTTTAACAGCCTTCACTTACTGACTCCCTGTTTGTATGCAACTGTTTCCAGTAATGGCAATAACAAAGGAACTATAGACATTGAAGGATGGCATATGCTCCGGCCCCTGTGTGGTGAGGCAATACAGCGCAATATATATGTCCTTTTGTTGTTGTTGTTGTTGTTGTTGTTGTTGTTATTGTTATTAGTAAAGTTCATAAATGGCAAAATAACACACCATTGATCATGCTGATGAACAATGTTTTGTTTTTTGTTTGTTTTTTAACGCCACACTCAGCAAAACACAGTAAGTGTATAGTGCTGAAAACCAATCGTAATGAACAGGAATCTGGGATTCGGACCCACCATCAACATGATTAACAGGTACTTGCAAGACTACGGGCCGCAACTCTGCAATTGTTTGCTTGGTGTTTAATGCTACACTCGGCATTATTCCAGTTATATGACGGCTTTCTGTAAATAATGGAGCCTGGACCAGACAATCCAGTGATATACATCATGAAGACGAAACGTTAAGACTGTTTCTTCCCATTCAGGTGTTACCCAGCCTTGTGGAGATCCTGAAGGAGGTGCCCCTGACCAGCTCCAAGTTCTGTCTTCCATGTCTGCAGTTCATCTACTGGTCACTCATGAATGTAGAACAAGGCCATGGACAGCAGGTGGGTGTATTGCAATCACCAGTATAAACCTAGAGGCAAAACAAGACCCTTTAAGAAACCATGGCATTGAGATCAGACTTTGGGTATAACAAGTCAGTTTTATTCAGTTTCAGATTGTAGCAAGATTGAAGCTTTAAGAACTGGTTCAGAATTATAGCCCTCAAATGCTACTAGTCAATGATAACTTCTATCATTTTTGCTTGTCTTCAGCATAATATAGTACTCTTGGACAAAAGGACTAGCGTTAATTTTGATGGCTGATAGCTCCTTAATAGCTCATGGTACCTTCCTGTAATGTTGCTTGAGAATTGCCAAAAATGTTCACACTCACTTCAAGCCTTGGGGAATGTTTTGTTTAATTCAAGAAATTTACTAATCCAAAGATTTGAATGATATCCTTTTATTGAAATTGACTAAGGACCCTATCCACCCACTGTGATGGTAGCTGAAAGATCATGTCGCCAACTCCATCCTATGTATCTACATTGATGTTAATGTTTCCTAATGCTGTTCTACTTAGAAAACCAGTCTGTCGTCAACCTTGCGTAGACTCGGTGAGGAGGTGTACCGAGCTCGGGTTTCTCGGAACTCAGACTCTGAGAAATTCCCAAGTTTGGTCCTAGACAGAGGAGACAAACAGAAAGAGGGGCTGTTCTTCCGTAGTTCCAACCTTCACATCCGTCTACTGTCATCTCTCATCATCCTGAAGACACTCACACAAGGTAAACTGAAACACAAAGGTTACCCCAGAAATCATTTCGTACTAAATTGTGAAATTAGTAAATGACAACAAAAGATCACTGAATAGTCAATAAAATATATACGAACACACAGTTTTAGGTTTACAATAAAAAACAGGAAATACAACGAGTTAATTAGTGGCAGCAGGAATAAGTAAAAGGCACTGTAGTATATATCTGTGCACTCACTGATGTCAAAAATTTACCACTGTCACGTGTCTTGAATCCAGAATAGTTTGGAAACTGGCAGGAATTTAGAGTTTTCAGATAGGTATCCCATCCACACTTGGCAACAGGTAAGATGCCAGTCAGGTCATAAAAGGCCAGAGTTCTTGAAACTATTCCAGAAACTTCTAGAATGATCAAGTCTGTTATGTTTGTAAACAACCAGGGGAGTTAACTCTATGACACTTCCTGTTATGATCTGGCCACTTCAGTACTCAATAGATTAGGAGTGGTTTAGTCAGTTGCTGTCACTGATAATCAACAAACATAAGCTTAGAAGAATAACTACTGCCCCATTTCATTATTTACAAGCTTAATAAATGATGCAAGTATCTTCACTGAAAAGTTTCAATAGAGTACCAAAGAAGTTCAGAATATGATATTATGACTAGCTTACATCATGCTCACTGTGAAGTATTCATGGCCTCAGCTGACCTCCTGGCCCAGGTGTTTGACGTCCTGAAGACTGACCTCAAGTCAGATGTAGCAAAGGAGCTGTTCTTGTATTACCAGGCCACCCCAGTCATCACTGTCTACCTCAAGCCTGTCAACAAGGTAGGTTCACTACTCACACCATACAGTCAGTTCTATGTTGACTCATGAAGAATAGGTCCCCAGTACTGCAAGCCTGTTGTAAGAGTCAGCTGAAATTGGATCAGGTTGTCAGGTTCTGTTACTCTTGGATTGGGAAATAAACTTCTGTTGTAGGTGTTCATGTGTACTGTAGTTTGTTGTATTCGGAATGTAAGCTTCTGTTGTAGGTGTTCATGGGACCTGTAGTTTGTTGTATTGGGAAATGTTAGCTTCTGTTGTAGGTGTTCATGGGTCCTGTAGTTTGTTGTATTGGGAAATGTAACCTTCTTGTTGTAGGTGTTCATGTGTCCTGTAGTTTGTTGTATTCGGAATGTAAGCTTCTGTTGTAGGTGTTCATGTGTCCTGTAGTTTGTTGTATTGGGAAATGTAAGCTTCTGTTGTAGGTGTTCATGTGTCCTGTAGTTTGTTGTATTCGGAATGTAAGCTTCTGTTGTAGGTGTTCATGTGTCCTGTAGTTTGTTGTATTCGGAATGTAAGCTTCTCTTGTAGGTGTTCATGTGTCCTGTAGTTTGTTGTATTGGGAAATGTAAGCTTCTGTTGTAGGTGTTCATGTGTCCTGTACTTTGTTGTATTGGGAAATGTAAGCTTCTGTTGTAGGTGTTCATGTGTCCTGTAGTTTGTTGTATTGGGAAATGTAAGCTTCTGTTGTAGGTGTTCATGTGTCCTGTAGTTTGTTGTATTCGGAATGTAAGCTTCTGTTGTAGGTGTTCATGGGTCCTGTAGTTTGTTGTATTCGGAATGTAAGCTTCTGTTGTAGGTGTTCATGTGTCCTGTAGTTTGTTGTATTCGGAATGTATGCTTCTGTTGTAGGTGTTCATGGGTCCTGTAGTTTGTTGTATTCGGAATGTAAGCTTCTGTTGTAGGTGTTCATGTGTCCTGCAGTTTGTTGTATTGGGAAATGTAAGCTTCTGTTGTAGGTGTTCATGTGTCCTGTAGTTTGTTGTATTGGGAAATGTAAGCTTCTGTTGCAGGTGTTCATGGGTCCTGCAGTTTGTTGTATTGGGAAATGTAAGCTTCTGTTGTAGGTGTTCATGTGTCCTGTAGATTGTTGTATTGGGAAATGTAAGCTTCTGTTGTAGGTGTTCATGTGTCCTGTAGTTTGTTGTATTGGGAAATGTAAGCTTCTGTTGTAGGTGTTCATGTGTCCTGTAGTTTGTTGTTTTGGGAAATGTAAGCTTCTGTTGCAGGTGTTCATGGGTCCTGCAGTTTGTTGTATTGGGAAATGTAAGCTTCTGTTGTAGGTGTTCATGTGTCCTGTAGTTTGTTGTATTCGGAATGTAAGCTTCTCTTGTAGGTGTTCATGTGTACTGTAGTTTGTTGTATTCGGAATGTAAGCTTCTCTTGTAGGTGTTCATGTGTCCTGTAGTTTGTTGTATTGGGAAATGTAAGCTTCTGTTGTAGGTGTTCATGTGTCCTGTAGTTTGTTGTATTCGGAATGTAAGCTTCTGTTGTAGGTGTTCATGGGTCCTGTAGTTTGTTGTATTGGGAAATGTAAGCTTCTGTTGTAGGTGTTCATGTGTCCTGTAGTTTGTTGTATTCGGAATGTAAGCTTCTGTTGTAGGTGTTCATGTGTCCTGCAGTTTGTTGTATTGGGAAATGTAAGCTTCTGTTGTAGGTGTTCATGTGTCCTGTAGTTTGTTGTATTGGGAAATGTAAGCTTCTGTTGCAGGTGTTCATGGGTCCTGCAGTTTGTTGTATTGGGAAATGTAAGCTTCTGTTGTAGGTGTTCATGTGTCCTGTAGATTGTTGTATTGGGAAATGTAAGCTTCTGTTGTAGGTGTTCATGTGTCCTGTAGTTTGTTGTATTGGGAAATGTAAGCTTCTCTTGTAGGTGTTCATGTGTCCTGTAGTTTGTTGTATTCGGAATGTAAGCTTCTCTTGTAGGTGTTCATGTGTCCTGTAGTTTGTTGTATTGGGAAATGTAAGCTTCTGTTGTAGGTGTTCATGTGTCCTGTAGTTTGTTGTATTGGGAAATGTAAGCTTCTGTTGTAGGTGTTCATGGGTCCTGTAGTTTGTTGTATTGGGAAATGTAAGCTTCTGTTGTAGGTGTTCATGTGTCCTGTAGTTTGTTGTATTGGGAAATGTAAGCTTCTCTTGTAGGTGTTCATGGGTCCTGTAATTTGTTTTATTCGGAATGTAACCTTCTGTTGTAGGTGTTCATGGGTCCTGTAATTTGTTGTATTGGGAAATGTAAGCTTCTGTTGTAGGTGTTCATGTGTCCTGTAGTTTGTTGTATTGGGAAATGTAAGCCTCTGTTGTAGGTGTTCATGTGTCCTGTAGTTTGTTGTATTGGGAAATGTAAGCTTCTCTTGTAGATGTTCATGTGTACTGTAGTTTGTTGTATTCGGAATGTAAGCTTCTGTTGTAGGTGTTCATGTGTCCTGTAGTTTGTTGTATTCGGAATGTAAGCTTCTGTTGTAGGTGTTCATGTGTCCTGTAGTTTGTTGTATTGGGAAATGTAAGCTTCTGTTGTAGGTGATCATGTGTCCTGTAGTTTGTTGTATTGGGAAATGTAAGCTTCTGTTGCAGGTGTTCATGGGTCCTGCAGTTTGTTGTATTGGGAAATGTTAGCTTCTGTTGTAGGTGTTCATGTGTCCTGTAGTTTGTTGTATTGGGAAATGTAAGCTTCTGTTGCAGGTGTTCATGGGTCCTGCAGTTTGTTGTATTGGGAAATGTAAGCTTCTGTTGTAGGTGTTCATGTGTCCTGTAGATTGTTGTATTGGGAAATGTAAGCTTCTGTTGTAGGTGTTCATGTGTCCTGTAGTTTGTTGTATTGGGAAATGTATACCTTTGTTGTAGGTGTCCATGTGTCCTGTAATTTGTTGTATTGGGAAATGTAAGCTTCTGTTGTAGGTGTTCATGGGTCCTGCAGTTGACATCCTGCTGCAGCTGTCTACAGACTCACCATTCACAACACGATTCCTGGAGAGTTGCAGCACAGAGCACTGGTTCAGGACCGTCGCCATGGTGCTACGGACACCAGTTTCTGATAACAAGATTGTGGAAAAACTCAGCATCTTACTTCAAAAACTGTCCAAAATCAAGTAAGTTTGAGGGAGATTGCATGTTATATCAACATCTTTCTGAGTTATGTGTCTGACAGTTTACATGTTTGATGCTGAGGTCACTTGTGCAGTTTCTTAGCTTAGCACATTGTGTGCAGGTCCTATAATGGTGTTCACCAGCCCTGTGGGGACTTGGGTTAGAATAGGTCCCCAGCCAGGGATTTATTCAGGCAATTTGGGAAAATATCACTTATTATGCTAAAATCGGTCAGTGAAATACTAGTCACTTCTACAAAGCCATAACATTAGTTATTACTATATAGCCTGAATTGGGAAATTTGTCATTTCTATTTGTGAATGTTTACTGACATTTGCTGTAGCATTGGGTCTGGGACAAATTGCTATCTCATACATATTGTTAGCATGTGACACTGACACATGCAGTCACCTAGCTACAAGTCCAGCAAAACTGGGATAATGTGTAGAAGTTGTTTGGGACAAATTGCTATCTCATACATATTGTTAAATCAGCAGTGAGTGAGTATGCTTTTATGCCACTATTAGCAAAATTCCAGCTATTAACTTCACACATTGTACCCATGTGGGGAATGTTCAGTGTGACGAGCGAACGCAATATCACAGCGGGGGACACCAGCTATTAAGTTCACACATTGTACCCATGTGGGGAATGTTCAGCGTGACGAGCAAACGCTTTAACCACTAGGCTACCCGACCGGCCCTAAATCTCCAGAGGAGGGTGCACAAACTATGCAGGCTTGCTGACACTGCGAACACAGATGTATAAGGATTTTTATATCGTATAGATTTATTATATTGCAATGATAACTACCGGTAACTAGATTGTATCATGGTTATAAGATGACAACCATTTCAATATGCTTCGAAATGAGAACACTTTAGCCAAAAGACTAACCTGTTCATATCAACATCAAAGTATTATCATTTCAGTCCACCATGATTGTGTAATTGAATTTGTGTTTGTTTTTAGATCCAACAAAAGATTCTTTGAAGTGTACACCATAGTGAGCATTGTCCAGGAGATGCTGCGCAACTCAGGAAGTGACAACGCCTTCCTGTCTCTGAATCTCAAGTCCATGTTGTTCAACCTCAATGCTACAGTAAAGACAACAGAGAGATAGTCTCTAGGGAATGTGTTTTCAGTTGTTATTGTCCATGCCTGTGGGGGAGGGTTCCAGCAGAACAGGGCCATCATATCCCATGCTTGTTGTAAGAGCCGATTAATGATTGGTTGGTTGGTTGGTTGGTTTGTTGTTAAACGCTGCACTCAGCAATATTCCAGCTATATGACGGCAGACTGTAAATAATCGAATCTGGACCAGACAATCCAGTGATTAATATCATGAGCAACGATCCACGCAATTGGGATCGATGACATGCATAAACCAAGTCAGCCAGCCTGACCACCCCATCCCGTTAGTCGCCTTTTACGACAAGCATAGTCACCTTTTACGACAAGTATGGGTTGCTGAAGACCTATTCTACCCCGGATATTCACGGGTCACCGATTAATGAGGACTAGAGATCACGAGGGTTTTACCTGGGTTATTGGGCTAAAAAAAAAAAATATTAGTCTTGGTTCTCAGGCACTGCCCACATCATCATTAAGTTCATTGCACATTTCGTTTTTGTTTCCATTTACAATTTTTCTGTGCATTGTGTTTAAGTATTAGGATTTTTATATATTTTTTTGATAATGGAAATAAAAACAAAACGTGTGGCAGACTTTATGATGATGCAGGTGGTGCCTGAGAACCAAGCCTTATGGGGGTCCAGGGGACACTTTGAATACTGCTGACTGTAGCATAAAACAGCATTTGCTGAGTGTCCGCCTGGCGTGCCTCAAGGAAGATCACTGGTGGTATAGACACTATGTACAGTGATGGCGGAACCCTGTAAATAGACTGTATTATGTCTGTGTGTGGATCTATGATAACACTATATTCAACCTAATGATCATTGTTTGTGATCAGTGAGAGTTATACAGTTTGTCATGTCAATTTAATGCTACTTCTCTTCCCTTGGTTGATGCAGGTCAATGTATTCAAATTGCATAGATCGATGCTCATGATGTCAATCACTGGATTGTCTGATCCAGACTCAATGATTTACAGTTCGCTGTTATATAGCTGGGTTATTGCTGAGTGCAGCGTTAAACAACAAACAAACCTGTCATCTGTTCCCATCGGTTTTCCAATTATATATATCATCGTAAGTATGTTCTTTCTTTTTTCAAGGAAGAATGGCAAGTCCTAGTTTCAAAACCTGCTGTATCACGTGATATAATCCTTTATAAGTACACTTCTCTCTGTATTTCTGTGTATAAAGCTAGTTGTCATTTCACAGTGAAGTAATTGATGTCAAATATCTCAGATTGCCTCATGCTGTTCATAACGGAATGGTTTTCACTGTCCATGACATTCATTGTTCTTATGGTTTGAGAGATGTGTTTGTAAATGCATGTACATTACAGCAATGTCTTGGTGAATCAAAAGTTTATATTGTGTACATAGTGTATACACATGACTGTACAAAGTGTTTCTCTGCATGTGTTTGTGTACATTATACTGTTATTTATTAAACACAATCATTTGTATGCAGTGAATGAGGAATTCTGAAGAGAATATCATTAAATCGGTAATCATTTTTTCAAGTCATGTTATCTCTGACTCATACTATATGTGATGTAACTGTTTCACATAGCAGATGTAATGTAAGTTTGACTGAACACAAGATGTAATGTATGTTTGACTGAACACAAGATGTAATGTAAGTTTGACTGAACACAAGATGTAATGTAAGTTTGACTGAACACAAGATGTTATGTAAGTTAGACTGAACACAAGATGAAACTGATGTTTGACTGAACACAAGATGTCATGTACGTTTGACTGAACACAAGATGTAATGTAGGTTTCACTGAACACAAGATGTAATGTAAGTTTGACTGAACACAAGATGTAATGTACGTTTGACTGAACACAAGATGTAATGTAAGTTTGACTGAAAACAAGATGTAATGTACGTTTGACTGAACACAAGATGTAAGGTACGTTTGACTGAACACAAGATGTAATGTACGTTTGACTGAACACAAGATGTAATGTAAGTTTGACTGAACACAAAATGTAATGTACGTTTGACTGAACACAAGATGTAATGTACGTTTGACTGAACACAAGATGTAATGTAAGTTTGACTGAACACAAGATGTAATGTATGTTTGACTGAACACAAGATGTAATGTACGTTTGACTGAACACAAGATGTAATATACGTTTGACTGAACACAAGATGTAATGTAAGTTTGACTGAAGACTAGATGTAATGTAAGTTTGACAGAACGCTAGATGTAACCTAAGTTTGGCAAAAGGTAAGACATTGCCT